AAGAGTATTAGCAGTAACTTAGTTGATGACGGATTAATAAACAAGGTAATGTTTATCGGTAGTTCATACCAAGACTATACCCAGTTCCGGTGAATTCCACTCCGGCCAGTTCCGGTGAGCTCCAAGCTTCTGTAAAACCCATGTCAGTTCAGTGCATTCATTTTCGGCGAAACCCACTTCAGTTCGGCAATGTGTCCACGCTACCTAGGCCCACCGTTGCAAAAACGCAATAGTGAGCTCATAAAACTGAAACAGAGCTCGCCGTTTTTGTTCACCTAAGTCGAATACAAGTCGATGAGTTCACTGATTTATCACCGGAGAAGGCAAGTATGCCGTGAAGCTTGCTGTCGATCAGTTCACAGGAGCTCGGAATGCAGCTTGGCTTCCGCCGGAATCAATGGTCACTTATTGACCCAAACTGGAACAACGGCTGAAGCTTGCGAACGACGAACCAGAACTGGAACAGCTAGCGATGGAAACAGAAAGATATGGGTTTTGATTTTTTGACAATATGAAATGATATGCCGATATGGGTTTTAAACTTTTGATTCTTACAGCAGATAGATGAACTAAAATATATGGGTTTTGAACTTCTGATTCTTGTAGTTTGCAGTTATAGAGAGAGAGAGAGAGAGAGAGATAGAGAGGGGGGGCAAGTTCAGAGTTGAGAACGAGAATAACGATGGAGGCAGAGGCGGAGGCTGAAATGATTTGCCCTAAAATAGATTTGCCCTAATGATATATGGTGTGCATATATATATATATATATATATATATATTTTAAAATATGAAAGGGCATGTTTGGTTTTACATTTAATTATATTCAGGTTTAGGTTATCCTTATTTTATACAATTTGAGGTTTATTTTATCCTTCTGCCAAACAAACACCATTTGACACAAATTTGGACAAAAAAGTCATTTTACATGGTCTGTATTTATAATCATTAATTTATTCAACTGAAGTGAGGGTATTATCGACATTTTACACCACCCAGGGACCTATTTGCACCAAATCGATAGTATAGGGTGGTTTTTACCATACAAGGACTGATATGCACTATATCGATAGTAGAGGGGGGTTTTTCTGCACTTCACCCTTTTGTAAAACACATAGTACTAGTGTATAGAAAATATATACTCCTATATATATATATATATAATATATACTACTATATATATATATATTAGGGTAGTGGTAGGTGTTTTTAACCCTCCACCTAGGGCGTGCTAAAAAATCATCAATCCGAAAAATCAAATCAGATCGAGTCAAATCGCGCAATTTGAGTCGATTTCATAACAGTTCAGTCCAATCACAACTCTAAAATAATGGAATCGTGAATTTTTTGTTCGGTCTCATACTAGGGTCCTACAGGACCGGACCGATCCAAACCGTTATATATATATATATATATATATATATATATATATATGGATTTGTATGTTATATTATATACTATTCTTAAATTTATAAGGAATTTCGGCACAACGATCAAACGTGAGCCAACATTCATCACTATCTGTCTATCTGATATATTTTTTTTTATTTGCTTTTGCTTCTTCCAATGTTTTGATTTTTTGGTGCGTCCTAACATTCCTCCACTGTCTTCTTCTTCTTCTTCTTTTTTTTTTTTTTTTTTTCCTTGCTAATGCCACCTCATTCACTTCTTAGTTCTTACCACCACGAGATCCAGTTGTTGATCAATCTCTTTCACGCAACTTTCGAAGTTCGATTATCGTCATCGTTCTTTTATCGTTGTTGTCGATGACATCCTTTATCACACTCTCTTTTATTCTCTCTCACTTTCAGTTCATGGATCTCTGAGTCTCGTGGCATGTTTACACCTCATGCACAACCAACAACGACAACGAATCAAGTTTCTTAGTTTTTAACCACGAATTTGTCATCATTTTCAGTTTCAGGAAGATTCAACCTTATTTTAATATTTAGGGTTTACCTTTTGGATCATTTCACCCACTTTCCCCTCTCTCTTTTCTCTCTCTATTTTAGTCTTGGCTTCGGAAATGTGAATGTTTTTATTGTTATTTTTGTTATATATAAAAGGGGGGAAAAAATAGGAAAATAAACTTCAACTAGAACCATGAAACAGAACCGAATTGTTCGGTTGCATGACTCAAATGATATGGTTCGGTTTTAGATTTTCTGGAACCATAGGGGAGCGGTTTGGTTCCAAAAATCCTTAAAACCGGACCAAACTAGATCGTATGCACCCCTAACTCCACCTTTTGAATTTAGAGACTAAATTGCCTATTTCATCCTTTTCTTCCCAAACCTTATATAGGTTCCATTTTTGAAAAGAAAAAAAAAAAAGAAAAAAAAAAAAAAAAAAAAAAAAAGAAAAGAAAGAACATTAGGTGCAAGAGAAAATAAATGAGAGGATAGTTTTAATCGTTTATTAACGATTCCTTTTCTAATTTCCTTCCAGACCTTATAGGATTCATTTATGATGTGTTTGGTATATTGGAAAAGAAATAAATAACATTAGGTGCGAGGGAGAAAAAAAGAAAGGAAATGAGAAAATAGTATTAACCATTTATTTATTGTGTTTGGTTGGTTAACAAAAAAAATGATACGGAATAGTAAATTAGTAATCATATTTTGGGGAAGCAAGGAAAGGAAATAAAACATTTTAATAAAAATAAATGACAAATTTGGTATTAATAAAGAAAATGATAGCCTTTTTCTTTCATTTTATCCTATTTTTGAAAGATAACAAAATCAACTCATTAAGTTTTAATGTATCCTTGAAATTCCTCCATTTCCTTTATTTTCCTTTCAAAATTTTATACGAAACACAATAAATAATATCCTTCCATGTTATTTATTTTATTTTTCTTATATTTCTTTCCATCCAATTCGGCCTTATGATATGAAGGGTGAACATATTATTTTTATTATTAAAATTAAAAGTTCGAGCACTGATAACATCTTCCCATGTAATATAACAAAACACATCGACTCCAAATTGGATGATCATGTGCATTCTAAATCGAGAATGCAACACCCATACAACATCCATGCAAACCCTTATGGAACACATTTACATGGATGCAATAGTAAAGCAAAATATTACCTTGACCTGTAACACTATAAAATACAACTCATTTAATTACAAAATGGTTGGTGTCTTAATTTAGTTATACTATTGATAGGTTTCGGTTGTATATGCACAAACCCTTACAGTTACGACAAATACCAATGTAATATCCCGTAATTTGAATGAAATTATTAAATGAGTTTTATTTGATTAAATTAGATTAAATTAAATTAGATATATATTATTATTATTATTATTTTGTGCTTTTAATTATTTAATGTTATTTAGTTATTTATGTGCATTTAAATTATTTACTGTTAAAAATAAGTTATATGTTTTTTTTAAAACTTTAAGTTAGTATTTATTGGTGAGTTAAAAACTACATTTAATAGTTTGATTTTGGCAAGTTTCGATTGTGTAGCACTAGGTACTGTCAGTGCAAAAAAATTAGTGTTTGAATTGCTTTTGACTATCTTATGTTGGGTTTGGTAGAGCAGAAGACAAAATGGCTTATATCTGTTCAGATAGTTAATGAATGGAGGATTTTAGTGTGTTGTATATAGCCGGTCTATTTCAAAGACTTCGTGGGAAAGACTTCATAAAATTTATTAGAGAGAGAATGAGTATTTATGAAGAGAGAGAGAGAGAGAGAGAGAGAGTTGGTATATATACATATGTTATTCTTACCTTGGTCTGGAGAGTGAGGAAGGAGAGAACCAGAGAGGACCGTAGGATTTGGAGAAGAAATTTGGAGGAGGAGGCTAGAGGAAACTTGCAGATTGATTTAAATACGAAAATCAAAGGCAAGTCCAAGCTCTTCTCTTCCCCTTTGAATTTATAAAGTTTTCACCTCTGTGCTTATGCAATTTTATGATCAAGAATCAAGCTAGTTTAGGTGATTAATTATATTTTTATTTTATGATGAATTATAGAATTTAAAATGAGTTTAAGGTGTTTTAGAATTTTTATGGGACCAATTATTGCATTTATGACTTTAAAATGGTTAAATAAGGCTTTTATAATTTTTAGGAATTTTATAGATTTTTCTAGAAATTTTTTTAGAATTTTTTGTTTGTATTTTCCGGCCATTTTATGCATTCTGCAACTTCCGGCGTAGTTTTCCGGCTACCGGCGACGACAAAAGAAGGGTTTGTGATCCAGTGCGGCGTGGCTACATGAAACACCATGCGCGCGCGGATCTAGACCATCAATCCTCATGATATTTAAAGCTTCAATAAGGTGTGGCGCATGCGCATTAATACACCAATGCAGTCGCGAGAAATGATATGGTACGGCGCCCACCATCAAGAGTTGATGTAGTAGCGAATTAGAATGCGCCATGTGTCAGGAGCTTAGCTTTTGATCCGGTGTGGGCGCGCTCACAGTAGCGCTTGAGCTCAACCTATTATATTGCCTGTTTTGTGACACGAAATTGAAACGATCATAACTTAGTTGTTTTAACTCAAAATTGGGTCATTCTTGAGTTGAAATTTAAGGATTTTTTGTTAGCTTTCCGATGGTACCTATTTTATTTTCAAATTCCTATCCTACTAAGAGATATTTCTGTTTTAGTGAGATAGCGTTGTGAAAATTAGTTAAACCGAGATGAATTATTTATGAAAAATATTTCATTATGCTAATATTGGTATTTAAAATTAATTGGGTGATGTTTTGCTTGGTAACTACTGTTAAGTAGTTTTATGGTCTTTGTGATTATTATTTAATCATAAATGTAGTATTATTTTAATTAATGATATAAATCATTATTAATATTTTATTAAGTGATTTTAATCACTATGAGTATTCGGATATTTTTTTGTAATTTTTTTACGATACTAATCATGCCATAGTTGTTATTAAAATCTAACGAATGTTCTTTGAAATTTAATTAGCTTACAAGCCATTGATGATTTAATCATTAACATGTTATATAATGTGTGCTTTTGATGGAAATTATTATGTCATTTAAATTGCAATCATTATTACTTTTATATGCCTGTGTGGAACTATGTGAGCTGGCTAATAAGTCTAAACTCATTTTACCGTGACAGATTTTATGGCTGTTGGGTATGTGGTTGGTTATTTATATGTATGTATGGAACAACGTGAGCTGGCTAATAAGTTTAGACTCACTTTACCGGGACAGATTTTATGGCTGTTGGGTATGTGGTTGATTATTGTTGAGTTTCTTGTTATTGTGTTTTTACACTTATCATTTGTGGAATTCATTGCACATTTTTTTTATTGCATATCGGTGATTAATAAGTTATATTTTAATGGTGTGTATTTCTATATTAATAGATATTCTTACTGGTATGGTTTTTGATTTGAGATGATTATTTTATCGATTCTCTGTTGGGATGTAGTAGAGAGGACTTGCTTGTGGGTCTAACCCACCTTTTGTTGAATCATTTCAGGCCCTCATCAGTTTCATCCGCAAGGCTAAGGTTTTAGTTGTCCGTTGCATCTACCTTATCTCTACTCTTACTATTTACTCCAGGGTAGAAGTTTTATCCATTTCGATAGATTTGTCTATTTCAGTTATGTAGTTGGTTTCGAATTTAGGAGTCTTCTTTATGAGATTCCCAAGTTTTATTTTGGAACTTTTATTTTGTTTTGGACGACTGTAATCCTATTATCGCTTAAACTTCTTTTTTGCTTAATTTATCCTTTCAGATTTTTTTACTTGTTTATTATCAATTGTTTTTGATATCCCCGTATTTTTTGGTGTGAACTTGATCAACCCATGCGTGGAAATTCTGGGGGTATCACAACCAACAACTAAGAACAAAACACAAATCATAACATAATTAAAATTAGGGTTGTTATACTCAGACCGACGGTTTTGGCCTTTTTCTTAGGTAGAATCCAATGTGGCAGTCCAGTTGGTAATGAACCTAAAAAAAAAGACGTCTAAAGTGGGTTTGTTCCGGCGGTGAAGAGGATGTGGCTCGAGTGAACCAACGAGAAATGGGTTTGTTCGAAATTGAAGAAGCAGACGACGAGCAATGTTTGAACAGCACGCAGGAAGCGAGGAACAAGTATGAAGAACAGTGAGCTTGAAACAGCGTAAATGTATTCCGGTGGTGATGAGGCTTGGGATATGCCGGCAGCGTAACAAGGTGGACAGTATTGAAGACAGCCGCCAGAGAAATTTCGACGTCGGCGATGAACAACATTGGCAAATAAGGTCGAAACTGTTGGTGAGCTATGTGTTCACAGAGGACTACGAAAACCAAGATGTTTGGCGGCAACAGAAAACACCGTCGAGCGAAGAGATTTCGTTTCCCAGGGAATAGATATATGAAGGAAAGGAAATTTGCGGAGGCCATTTGTCCCTCTTTTTCTGTCTCTTTTCTCTCTAGATCTTAAAGACGACACCACACACAAAAATATGGTGCCGAGAGAAAAAAAACATCACTGAACGCTGTTAATGGCGATAACTGCAAGGAGACGCATTTTTAAGGTGCGATTAACATTTGACGCGGTGGCGCATGCATATGACTCGTTAGCGCGTGAGTTTCGTAACGCCACCGAAATCACCATCGTTAACAACGATCGGAACCCTAGTTAGAGCATAATACCGTGGAGTCCTCCAGTTCTGTGACGTTAACTGCCGCAGCTTTACTTCTGCCACCGTCGCTTAACCTTAGCGATTTCTCGTCCATTGTTTCAATTACTCACATGGTAGTCCCTAGAAAGTTCATTAGCATCGATCTTAACCTTCCTCCACCTCGCCTAAACCTCGTTGCAAACGAGGAAAAAACGGAAGAGAGAAAAGTTATTGACTTTTTTGTGGATATCCATGTAGATAAGCCAGAGAAATTGGTTCAACACTTCGGTGTTAATATCATTTTCCTTAAAATTAAACACACTACGCATAAATAATACAAAGATTTACATGATTCATTCAAAATTTAGGGGTTACATCTACGGTGAAGAATTGACTTCACCATACGGAGATTATAAGTTTCAGCCCCCAAAACTAACTTTTGTTCTTACCCTCGTTCATACAAATTTTCAGTGTTCTCTTATTATACACTTCAAACCCTAAATACCCTGATATAATAGGTTACAAGAAAATTCTAAACAGATTCCAAGACAAGCAAACATAGGCCTGTTTGGCTAGTGCTTTTGCTTTTGCTAGTGTACTGTGGCGAACTAAAAGCACAAAGCATGTTTGGTAATATTTGATGTCATTTGAATAGTATCGAAGCGCTTCCAAAATTGAGGTCAAAATCGGAAGCATTAAAATGATATTTTTGTTTTTTTTCGCACTGTAGCAAAGTACTGTTTAAAAAAAAAAAAAATCTAAAATAATATTTTTAACTAATTATTTAAATTTTCAAACTTGCAATACTTTTTACCAAACATGCTTTCATGTTCTTACTTCTAAAAATTTTATAACAAATTTACATTACCAAATAAACTTTTAAATAGTGTTGAATATATTCTAAAATAGAATTATTATTTTTGTTTTGAGTCAAAACAAAAGCATAAAATAACTTTGATTGAAGGGTAAACAGGTTAAGATTTTCTTACTAACAAGCGTTGCCCTCGAACCTTGTGTTTTTGGTGGGCATGGATACCCATACAAAAACCATTTTTTTAAGTCATAATGCAATCCGAACTAAAACGAAGTCCAGACCACAAATATGACACTTACCATACTCCATTTGTTTACCATTAAAAAAAAAAAAAAAAAAAAAAAAAACATAGGATTACCGCATTAACACTGTGTTTGGGTGAAAAGATACCTAAGCATTTCCAAGGGATGCCTTGTTGATGACTTGTAATTTTGTTTTATATCTATAGAAATTTTCCACTTTACCCAGAAAAAAAAAAAAAAAAAGATACCTAAGCAAATGGATGGAAAATGCACGAGGATAAAGAATATAAAGGTTGATTGCTTGGATTTGCTTTAACTATTCAAAAGATTACAAAAATGGTTCTTAAAAAATCATAAAAATACTTTTACAAAATTAGACATTTTTAATTCAACTTTTGGCATGTGCTCAAATGGGCCAATGAATATTTAACATATATATATATATATATATATATTTTCTAATAATTTGGTAACAAAAACTGTTTTACAGACAAGCATGCTATAAAAAATAAAAAAAAAACTTTCATCAGTCAATTTATGTTCTATAAATAGTATGCCATTAGAGATTGATAGAGATGTATAACTGGGCAAATTAGGCTGACGACAAATGTTTCGCAACCCTCTTTCCTAAAACACCATTAGGTCGAATTGTTTGGTCCCAACCTCAAGCTGGGTTGAGTTAGCATCAACCAAAATATAGAACTTTGTTTTTTTGGTTTGATAAAAAAAGTAATGGTACATCATTCGAATCCGAAGAATGCTGTATTCACTATGATAAGTCGGTGCAAGTATCACTACTCTTTGATTAATTAAGAACATGAGCTAAAAATGAAAAAGTTTATTATATAGCTGGTCGAACATGTATGTCTTGAAATTAGAATCCTCCCTAATAATATTTTTTGCTATTTTTTACCTCCGTTACTAGGCACGGACTACCCACTGAATTTTTTATATTTTCATTTTATATCTTAATTTCTTTAAAATTTAAGAAGATGACCCCACTAAAATTATAATTCGCCCCATTGAATTCATTTTTTTTTTTCATTTTATACTTTAAACTTTGAGAATTTATAAAAATGCCCTCACTAAAATTACAAATCACCCCACTGAATTTTATTTTTTTGCATTTTATACTTTAAAATTTTAAAAATTTATGAAGAAAACCTCATTGAAATTATAAAAATAGATCCACTATATAAGTTTGCCCCTACAAATTAAAAGGCAACCCCCTCATAAAATTTTCTAGGTCCGTTATTGCTAGTGAATTTTACCACTTTCAATTGTGACTTTCACTATTATAATACTGAAATTTTACAAATAAATACATATAAATTAGTAAAATTTCAATTTATTATTATAGTTGTAAAATTCATCATGATAAATGTGGTGAGGAATACCTCATAGGATCTTTGCTCCTAGTCCACACATTATTCCAATATTCCTCATTTCCTCCTCAGTCCATACATTTGAAAACCTTTGGTTTAAACCAAAAAATAAATAAATAAATAAAACAAAAATAGTCTTCAAAGCTCAAGTAGCCCTTCCTTAAAATTAATCAACTTTAATATTGTCTCTCACAATGTTCGTCAATGGCGGGCCTTTGAAAAGACAAGTCAGCTTCTCTTCTAATAAAATTCATCTCTGAATCGTCTCAAAACCCTAAAAAAATTCGACCCGAAAAAACCGATATCCGATGGCGAAACGCACCGTACCAATCCTGAAACAACTCCTCCGGTCATCGGAAAACCCAGCCAATCTAGGGTTTAAGAGATCCGTGACCTACATGCCCCGACCCGGGGACGGGACTCCGAGACCTGTAACCCTAATCCCCGGCGACGGAATCGGGCCTCTTGTCACTGGCGCCGTCGAGCAGGTCATGACGGCGATGCACGCTCCGGTGTACTTCGAGCGGTATGAAGTCCATGGTGATATGAAGAAGGTTCCGGAGGAGGTGATCGAGTCGATCAAGAAGAACAAGGTGTGTTTGAAGGGAGGGTTGATGACTCCGGTCGGTGGAGGAGTGAGTTCGTTGAATGTTCAGCTCAGGAAGGAGCTTGATCTGTACGCTTCCCTAGTCAATTGCTTCAATTTGCCCGGTTTGCCGACGAGGCACGAGAACGTCGATATCGTGGTGATCAGGGAGAACACCGAGGGTGAGTATTCCGGGCTCGAGCACGAGGTCGTTCCCGGTGTGGTCGAAAGTCTTAAGGTATCTTTGTTATTGCGTTTTGAGTCTGTTTGATCATTTCATGCTAGTTTATATTGATATGCTTGTGGTTCATTTGACTGAATTTTGGGTAGTTTGAAATACTATATAGGTTGAATTTTCTCAGAAAGCTCTTAATTTGGAGTACTTTAGAGTATAATTGCATGTTTCAATGTCATGTGATGATGAATTGGGTGAATGTGTAGTATTTGGTTTTTGCGGAGGTCAAATTGCTTACAACTAACCCTCCCCAGATCCTGCAATGGTGGAGTCTCGTGCACTGGGTTTTCCCCTTCTTAGTATTTGCTTTTGGCAATGAGAACCATAATGCAATATATATTGGCTTCTACTTAGTTTGTGTGTCAGACTTGGACAGTAACATAGCGGACCTTGCCAATTGCTACATTTCTGGCAATATGTTATGGTGTCTGATCGTGCTATAAAAATGCAACTCTGAAATTGCTTACATTAGCATGTTAAATCCTGCAATGTGACCGAGTAATAAAATTCAAATCTTAAATACTTCAGTTGGGTACATCATTAATCAATTAATTATTTATTTTTTTGTTTTTTGTATTTGTTTTCATCCAACTATGTATTGACAATCTACATGTTGCAAGGAAATGACAACAATTAATTAAGTTATGATATTACTACTTTAATAGTGCCTGTTGTGTATATAGCCAAAATGAAAGGTTGATTTCATTTCTTTCTATCGATCTGAGGTTCTTTTATTTATCTGTCTAGAGAGAATATCTTGAAGAAGTTCTATTTTAATTTTCTAATCTCATTGTTTTCTGGAATGAGAAGGGCTTTTTTAATAAATTTATTTTTGTTTATTTATTTATTTTTTTTTTCTGTACTGCATGGTGTTGTTTCTCTAATAACACTACTTTGCTAGGTGATAACAAAGTTCTGTTCGGAGCGTATTGCTAAATATGCTTTCGAGTATGCTTATCTCAACAATAGAAAGACAGTGACAGCTGTGCACAAAGCAAATATTATGAAGCTTGCAGATGGTCTATTTCTAGAATCTTGCCGAGAGGTTGCGACAAAATATCCTAGTATCAAGTACAATGAAATTATTGTGGACAACTGCTGCATGCAACTTGTTTCAAAGCCTGAGCAATTTGATGTCATGGTACGTGAGTTAGCTGACGTTTAGTTTGCTTTGCAATTATTTTTCCATTTGTACTTTTATTTATTTATTTATTTTTTATAAGTATTTGTACTATTTATTTATTAAGTTACCTTATAGTATAACGACACCTGGGTGCTGAGAGTTTTGTCTGCTTTTTATCAATCTAATGCTTATTGATTTCTGTGAAGTACTTTATCTGTGACCACATAAATTGATGAAGGTGAAAAAGTGTAAGATGATAAAATGTTGTTTAATAATCACTTACTCATCACTACTCAACCAATAATTAGTTCCCAACTACTTTGGTTCACATACAGAATTGCTTTTAGGTGTATCCAAGACACCCAAAATAAGAAGGACTCATATATTTTCTCACTAACTTGGCTAATTTTCCCATTGGCATTCCCATTGTCCTCGTGACACCTTTAACATGAATCAGTCACTCCTTAGTGGTGATCTCATTAGTTCTTGCTACATACGACTACAAAATCTTGGACAACTTCCTTCAATTGTACTTGTTACTTCTCATGCTTCTATTTGTTTCCATCTTCTAAGTATTGCCCCTTAGCATCTTATCATTTTTGTTCCAGCTTCAGTCATTCATTGAAAGTATAGTCACTTGACTAGTCAACATTGAAAAATATTCTACAATCACATATCTGATATATATATTAAATAAGTGCTTTTTACCCCCCCACCCCCAGCACACACACACAACCACACCCACAAACAAGGAGAAAAAAGACTTTCTATTATGTAAAAATGAGATGATTTTTGAAGGATAACATAACTCTGTCATGAACGATGTGACACATAATTAGCTTGGGAAGGTTTAAATTTGGTCAGCATGGGTTCTAATAAGAGAAAGGTAATACAGGAAGTGTGCCTACTGCCTGCATAACTTCTGTGGTGGTGGTGTGCAGCTTCACTCCCTGGCTTTACACTATGATATTTTTTTCTTCTTTATTTTACCAAAAAAAAAAGAAAAAGAAAGAAGATTCTTAGCTGATGACTACTGGTTCAAATATTGCAGGTCACTCCCAATCTTTATGGAAATTTAGTTGCAAATACTGCTGCTGGTATAGCTGGGGGCACTGGAGTTATGCCAGGAGGTACATCAGTTAACATATTCCAATTTAAACTTCCTCTTTATTTTATTTATTTTTAAATTTTTTTTTGGCTATATTTTAGAAGTTAGGTCTGTAATGTAGTGATTCAACTTGTTTCTAACCCTTGAAAATCGACTACCACCATCAACATGGCTGGATCAAGCTAATTCAATAGAATTTAAGTGCCTGATATGTAATTCAAGTTAGTGCACCTCAATATTAATTTAAACCATTACTGGATGAAGCTATGGTTCGATGGAAGTGGTCGATGAGATTCAAAATACTTAACTGCCCCCCATGTTCCTATTTTAGGTTCAAGATTTTTTATCTTTAATATTTTTTATTTTATAAATTAAACTATTTTAACTGTCATCCTACTGAATCAGCATCAACCTGATGTAATAATAGCTATTAGATGTGCTTGGGAAATGAAGCATCCTTGCCAAGGCATTTTTACAAGATATTTGAATTGTGGTGTCGGCACAAAGGCATATTTAGCATACAAAGTGATATCTTTGCAATATGACGCACAATATTTCAACACAGTAAAATCTCATAAAAAAAAAAAATGTAAGACTGTCACACCATTCATCCAAGATATGTTGCACTGTTTATTTGTCAGAGCAAGTCAGATGACGCAACCTCTATTTTATGGATCATTGCTGACCTAGAGTACAACACTCACATTAACTGGAAGTGATTGGTGTTTGTTTTGTGGATGTTGGTGCATGGGCGGATGTATCAAGGGGGCCTATAGAAATGAAACAAACGTGAAGTTGAGGAAAGTTCCCTGAAGTGACACTAAGGGGTGGAGCCCGGGGGGGCCATGGGCCATCTTCTCCCCACTTCCTCCCCACCCCCCAAAAAAAAAAAGCCCCTCTTTATATATGGCCCAAAAATAGTTTGTTTTGTAAATGTGTAGACTTTGGCCCCAAAATAAAATTGACTTCCATTGGATCTTAGTTGGCTTTAGTTTACTAAGGTCAACACAGATCAAAATATACAATATCATCATCTTCTTTTTTTTTTTTTTTTTAAATAATACTGTCATAGTTGCAATTGTTAAAATCTTGTTTACTTGGTTTTATTTTTTATGTTTACTATATATGTATTCAACACCTTTTATAATGCTCTTGATCACATACAATATAACACTTTTTTTTATAAATATTTTTCTCCCTCTTTCTCACTTCTTTAGTTTTCCTTGTTCACAAATCCCAAAGGTGCATTGCATTGTTGTTCTCTTAATATACAACATACAATAGGATGAGCAGTTATTTACTAGATGTTCTCCAGTTAATTTTTCTTTTTTCTCTTATAGTATACCGCATTATTGTACGCTGCACTTTCACATATTTATATTTGTTGTTTATATACATATTTAAAACTATATTGTATGTTTTTGTTATGAATATATGCTATAACTGTTATTAATAATTGATAATTGGTATGAATCTTATGATAAAATTGTTATCTTATAATTCTCAACTTTTCAATAATTGATATTAGGGATAGTCTTGTTCTCCTATATATATATATATATATATATATTTTGCCTCTTCTTCACAAACAAGTCTATTTTCATTAATTTTTACGAGCTTACATGAATTCAGTGTTCTCAAGCCTATTTACCTACATGTGAACCGTTACATGTTAATTTTCTTGCCTCTTCTTCGCAAATATGAACTGTTACACATTAGTATTTTAGTATGTATATATATATATATATTTTTATAAATGAAAATCAATATTCTTTTTGTTTTTTAGGAAAATTTGATTAAAGACCTTTTTCAATGATTAAAGTAATTAATAAATAATTTTTCGTTGGCTCCCTAGTTATAGAATCCTGTATTTCTCTCCCTAGTTATTAAGTACATGATCGGGGTGTTTACACTGTTCTAGGATTTTGTCTATTCCATCATGTGGGTATTGTTTAATGTTCCTTACAAGGCTGCAAATGAAATGAACCAAGCGTCAAGTCTGTTTGGGCTCTGTTCATTTGTTTGTGGCCTTAGCTCAATCTCGGCTCATGATCGTGACAAGCTCAAAAAGGTGAGCTTGAGCTCGGCTGGCCAGGATTTTGAAAAGCTTGGACCCCGGGGCAACTTGGGTCGGGTCCACTCATTTCATAAAACGAGCCGAGCTTGATCTGATGTTCGTGTTCAAGCTTGGTGCTTGTGTTCAAAATGCTTGGCTTATCTATTAACATAATATTTGCAATAACAAAATTACAGATTTTAATTTTTTTACTTCTCATGAAGATATGACAAAATTAGAAAAAAATATTAGATGAGTCTATTTACCTACAAGAGTCGAGCCAAACAGTGTTCAAGATCAACGTGTTTAAATGGGCTTAGTAATCAAAATTGAGTTTGGCTTGTTTCCTTGACAGAGGGCTTGAACCAAGCTTAAAACGGGTTAATTCTGAGTTGTTCATTAACAGCTCGGTTCAGCTCTAGTCCCTTATAAGGTTGGTTTGTTTTTAAATTTGTAGGGATTATGAAGACTGAATTTGGGTTTTACTTGTGACCATCTAAACATGCAGAGAAAGAATTGTTAAGACTAAAAGTAGATGGTTGAGTGTTCAAGTCCCCATAATGGGAAAGTGGTGTGAGTTTCAAAAGGAAGAAAAAAATTTATTTAGCAACATAGTGAGGACGGAGTTCTTTTTCTTTCATTAAAAAAAAAATTGTTCATTGAAAACTGTCTGGTTGATACATTATTATTGGTATAATATGAGATAATACAAATTGATGGTCCCTATAATCAACTAATTATCTGGATTTGTTGCAGGAAATGTCGGGGCTGATCATGCTATTTTTGAGCAAGGTGCTTCGGCAGGGAATGTGGGGCACACGAAACTGGTGGAACAGAAGAAAGCAAACCCAGTGGCCCTACTTCTCTCATCGGCCATGATGCTGAGACATCTCCAATTTCCATCTTTTGCTGATAGATTAGAAACTGCTGTGAAACGGGTTATATCAGAGGGCAAGTACATGACAAAAGACCTTGGAGGAACCAGTCACACCCAAGAGGTTATTGACGCAGTTATAGCTGCTTTGGACTGATAGCTGCTCTCCCTACCGATCAGGCTTTGTATACCTGGCATATTTTTTTCCCGCAGATATTTTCATTTATTGTTGCTAAATTTTCTTCCCACCAAGATAAAGAACGCTTTGTTGATTAAAATGAAACCTGTAAAGGCATATGGTCCATTTCTATGATCGATGCTATTCTGAAGTTCCCATCTTTCATGCATAATGTTCGTGGAACAGTGTTATACCGGGAAAATTTGGATTTTTGAGACCTTAAGGGCCTGTTCACCAAGGCTTTTATTTTCTTCGAAAGTAAAATCATGATTTTCATTTATGAAGCTGAAATAAAGAAGAATCATGTTCACTAATTTTTTATGCTTCAAATATTTTGGAAGCAAGAATTTAGAAAGCATGTTCAATAATTATAATTTTTATTTTGTAGGTACAAAATTTCTTCAACCCTTCTCTCTCTCATTTTTGTAACTCGCCTGAGTTGAACCCAATTCACTATTAGTATGGCCCTGCCCATCATCACTGCTCAAATATATACACAAATGATTACACACACGTACAACCTCTGTAAATAGGTGTCATTCTGGTTGAATTGACTCCTAAAAAGTTCTATGCATCAATTTCATTCACTCCACCCACCTCTGGGCAAGTCAAAAGCCCATGTTATGTGATCCTTACGATTGAACTTTAGGAAGCCCCTTATAAGATCACTTAACCTCACTGACTTGGTTTGGTTGGTGCAAGATGGGATCTTGATGCTATCTCCATGGGTGTATAGAAAAAGTATAGAGAGAGACTGAGGCCACTGGTATTCACCTCCTAGAGACAAGTAGAGAGAGAAACTAGAGAGAGAGAGTGTTTCTGTCTTCTCTCCTCTCATCGGATGCGACTCGAACTCCATTGGTGGTGGCGGTTTGTGGTGGTAGAGAGAAGAAGAGAGGAAAAAGATGGTGGTGGTTTGCGGTGGCCAGGGGAGGAGGCAGCGTGTAGAGATGGGTGTTGATTTTAGAGTTTTTTTTAATAATGCTACAATGGAGAAAGTAATTCATGTGAACAGTGTAGAAATTAGAGAAAACACAGTTTTCTCACTTTCTTTTCCAATCACAAAATTAGAAAGTACTTTCATAAAATTAAAAAGTGAAAGTATTTTATTAAACATGATTTTTACTTTTGATTCTCAATTTTAAGAATTGACAATAGAAATCAGGAATCCTTCCAATTAGTGAATAGGCCCTAATAAACTCTCTTTCCTACTTTCTTTGCGTCTCTGTATAGTATATTCATTGACAAAAACTAATCCTTAAAATGGAGGAAATTGCAAGAAATAAGCTGGTACTTTGTTGATATTATGATAATATCCTGTAATGTCGAGAATATCTACATGTGAAATTTTGAATACGATCATTTAAATACACCTAAAAGAAAACAAAAGGGTTGTTGAAGAGTTGGGAAGCCCTCTTGTGCCTCATTTCTTCATCCAACCAAGGTACTTTCTCCTCCGTTTCTTTTCCTTTGTTCCCCACACCAATCCTAAGAAATTGTTAGAGATGTAACTTTAGAAACAAGTGCTAGTAATTTTTTTATGCAGTTTATATTTACATCACTTCAATTTGGGCCTGTTTGGGGATCTTTTGCGTTTTTGTTTTCATTTGACAAAGAAACATCGTTTTTATTGTAAAGTGTGTTCAATAGTGATTGGAAGCGTGTTTGGTAACGTAAAATTTGTTGTAAGATTTTTGGAAGCAAAAATATGAAAACGTGTTTGGTAAAAGTGTTGCGAAATTGAGAAACATGATAGGCTAGTTCAAAAATGGAGAGTTTTTTTTTTTTTAGAGAGACTGTTTACCACTACATTGTTTTTGCTGTAATTTGAAAACATTAGGAAATACTAATTTCATGTTTCGGATTGGAGCCTCTTTTCAGCAATTCAAATTGCAACAAAAGTTACCATGCAATACTATTCAAATTGCAACAAAAGTTACCAAGGGCCTCAGTGTTTTGACCCAAAACACAAAAGACAAAACAAAAGTGGTTGCCAAACACAACCAATCTATTTATAAAGGGAGTCATCTGAAATGTGACTAGTAATTTCTATACCCTCCTCAATTCACTTGGAGTAATATTTTATTATCAACATATGCAATTATTTGCTTCACATCCCTGCACCATAAAATGCATCAAGCAAAACAAATCCAATACAACGAATGCTGTCAATGATATAAACATCACTATCTTAAGGGCATGGCATAAATTCCTTCCATGACCAACTGCAACTGCAACAAGCCATGCTACCAAGCACATGTTTGGCCTTTTTTTCCTTTCAAAAGATCATATGGTAATTATCACAGCATTTCAGTAATACCTGGACTTGCATGTTCATTGAGTTCTCACGAACTTGAGCATTTCGGGGGAACAGCGATGGGCCGCCTCAAGGAAACAGAAACAATTAACTTTTACAACAACAACATTCGACGGTTTAGTTTTAGATAAATTTCTAGGTTGAATACATATGGTCTTTATCTTCTAGTTCTTATATCCAAGTCTGATAATTACATATAAATCCATGATTCTCATGTTCATTAGAATAACTACACAAGAATTAATGTGCTGTGAAAAACACTTCACTAAACAATGCATTGGAAATAAGTAGCGGTGGGCACACCAAGAAAATGCATAAAGAAAGAAGTCTGACTCCTGGAAATACTATTCGCAGCAAACTGTTGTGGGAATATTGCCACGTCGCTCATTGCCATTATTAGTATTCAAGTGAGCCCAAAGATGGTAGTCCTGAAACAAGATCTCGAACATCATTGCCACTGGCATTCATCATCCCACCGGCATTATGGTTGAATGAGTCAAACTCTTCCTTTCCCAGTTTGTGCATATCCTCGGGAGAGAGTATCTTGATGTACCAGACGTTATTCACGAATGCGCTGCAGACCGGATTTTGCATAGTGAGTATACAAAAACAAGAACACAAGTGTGTTTTTGGACAAGGAGGTGACATTGTTCCAAGAAAATGTCAATGAAATACTAATAACACCACTCAAATTTTAAAGTGGCTTTTTGTAGAAAGGAGAAAAAAATTATTCAAATAATTGCCATGAAAAAGAGTGGACTAAAAATGAAATTTGCATGAAAAAGAGTGGACTAATTTATAAAGTTGGCCCATATTTTTCAAAGAAGGGCAAGTTACTTGGTTGAGTTGGTAGTACGGTTATAAGAAATTAACCCAAAGCACCAGAAATACCACATTAAAAGCACTCAACACCATTGAAAGGTAAAAAAAATCCATAAAGAAGCTGACACCATGCAGAAAATAAGTTAAACAGATAATTAGGCTGTGTTTATAAATGAGTACTTACTCCCACGGGTCATCTCCAAGGAGAAGCACATCGTTCTCCCTATCAACGAATACAAGCTGCCAGCCTGATCTTTGAGGGTCTTGCAGTAATCCCTCAATCCCAAACATCCTTCCCAGCTCCTCTCGCAGCTCATGATAGCTGTTGAACCGAGATATGTCCAGTGACCGTCCAACCGATCCTGATTTGTAAACCTGCACATAAACAAAGAGCATCACTCACCAATAAATCTAATTCATAAAATGCCACTAACATAAGCACAATTTCACCATCTGCGATTTGCACCTTCACAAATGTACATGAGGGGTTTGGTGGGTCAACTTGCAATGCAGCATTCAACAACTCAGAAGAGTCTTGCGTGCAACCATACAGAGGACTCTGAAAACCTGCAGCCCCTAATCTCATCGAGGAAACATCAGTATCGATTGAAGTGCCAGTATTTGATACTGTAGTTGGAAGTAGGAGTCCACATGAGTCAATATTAGCACCGAAAAGAGCATGATTTGGGGAGTCCAAGTTACAATTTTCCTGCTCCACAGTACCACCGTTCCCAGGATAAGGGGGGAGTGACACTGAGTTGGCAGAAATATTGGACTGTGAACGTGCAAATTTTGATGCCCAGGGTTGTTGGGATGGCTGCTCACTGATCATGGACTGACCAGTTCTAGAGAATTTCGAAAGATTACCACTCCCCTCAAGACACTGTGAACCCAGCATGTTTTGTACAGAAGGACTCATAGACGCTAAATGTTTTGGGCTTGAATTTGGGAAATCAGTTTTTGGAAATGGAGATAAGGAATCGGTATGCTGCCTCTGCTGCAGCTGATCACTTCGACTGAGAAATGCCTCTTGATTAATATGGTGCTGCGAACGTTCTTCAGGTGGATTGTTAACTTGTTGCTGGAGATGTCTAGGCAGGTTCTCTGATGACAGCATTTGGTTTTGTGTTGGAAGAATATGCGGAGGGATTGACGGCTGCATTAATTGCTGCTGCTGCAACATTGGAAGGTTGCCTGAATGCTGAAGATATTGGAAAGGCTGCTGAAGCTGCATAAAGTGCTGTTTCGCAGAATCCCCGCTTCCTAAATTCTGCAAATTAGCTGCCAACATGGCCTGGTACTGCTGATTGAGATCGTTTCCGAGAAAGGTTGAATCCACTCTCTGCTGCATCCAGGGTAACATACCAACAGACTGAAAATTCATGGGGTGGAGTCCTTGCTCTCCAGTTTCTCCTCTGAACCACATCATGCCATTAGCTGCTTCATCTCTTCTATCTGTAAAAGCAGCACAAGGGAAGGAAAAAAGAAGAGAAAAAATGAAAAAAAGAAGAGCCTTCTATCCCAAAAAACCAAGCAATTACTGTGCCTATGGAGACATAGATATCATCAATGACAAAAAATCAGAGAGGGGCTAAGAAGATCTAGCATAAGAAAAAAAAAAAAAAAAATAGAGGAAAATTATGTTTGGATAGGGCTATTTAATTAAGCAAGTACCAGTTCATGTACCGAACACGAGCAATTGTTGGATCATAGGGCTATTAAAAGAAATAGTAAGGCCAATTTAGATATGCAATATAGCAAGAAAGGGACCATATTTACTATTGCAATTTCATATTGAATCACACAGCTACGGAAAAGGAGAAATTGACGGGATCAAGTTTAGTTTTATATTTTCTCAGTTGAAGCAATAAATAAATTTTAAGTTCAGGAACCAATAAAGACTTTCAACAAATGAAGAACAACCCTGGGGAGACTTCGTTTCCTCTGGTTTAAATGTCCATATTATTTTCTGTCACAACAAAGTGCTCTATCATCATGATAACCAGCTCAAAATCCCTTCAAAGAAAGGGCATGTTTGTACTTAGTACGCATGCAAGTAACCGCCAACTCATGAAACAGTAATTTAAACAAACGCCCTCCTTTAGACATAGACTATTTTTTTTTTTTTCAAAGAGGAGGTATCCCCACATTTAGACAGAGACTTCAATCATGTACAAATGGTATCCCATGCCTTCAAAGGATAATCTTGACCATCAACTTCAGACTCTCAAAACTTCACCGTAAACAAGTTTGAAAATTTGAGAGGCATCTAAAATAAAGGTCAGAAAATATAAATGTCAATCATCTGGTGAATCAACGTACTTAAAAGTATATTATTTCAATGCACTGCAACGTTCGTGCTGCCTAAACATGAGTATGAGATAGGAAGCATCACACGCTGAAAAGATCCCATTGGAGTGCCTAGCTTGCGGACATGCTATTGGACACGATGACTTTCCACCATATATGCAATGGAAAGACTGGGGGACTGGGGAATAGCAGAACTACATCTCTACAGTGATCACAACCCTCTACAGAGGAACTACTACTTCTTGAACCTCAATTTTTTACGGACGAGTTCATCTACAGAAAGCTGTGAGGTAACCCAATCCAAAACATTTTTCATTTTTTTTTTTTTTTTTTTCTCCTTTCAAGTTGGTAGGATTAATTAGTGTTATTTGAAATTGAAAGTTGTTAGGGTTTTTCAAAGTTGGAAACAAATGGGGATTTTTAAACTTAGGAATAAAGGGCTTTCTGAAAATGGGATTATTTGAAATCATAACTGAGGCTTCTTGTAATTATGAAACAATGGCTTTTGAAGTTGAAAATAATAAAGGGCTTTGAAATTGAGAAAATCAGAGACTAAAGAACCATTCTCTTGATTCCTCAGCCCACCAACTTGAATGTTGATTCATTGAGGAAAAGGGTGCACGCCAATAAGAAATATATCACAGTTAAATGATTAAATACTTTTTCATTTTTTTTTTCATTTTTTTCTTTTATTTATTTTTTACATTTCGTCTTCAATGTATCTTATGTTGTTTCTTTCTCTGCTTGTGAGGAGATCCTTTGATTCACTGTTTTGTGTCTTCTCATCAATTAAGATCCTACCTTCTATTTGAAAAGGAAAAATAAATCCTAAAAAATATGATGCCATATGAGATCAACCACTTCTTTTGTACATTACTTCAAGCATTTAAGACATTGTTCGCTTTAATTTTTATAACTTTGACTAGATCGTTGAAGACAAAAGGCCCAAACGACTATTGCCAATTTACTCAAAAGCTCAATTTTATCAAGGAAGGTATTATTCTTAACCTAAACTAAAGTTCAGTTATATCAAGTATACCAAAACTAGATACATCACCTGGTATACCCCAGCTTAACGGAAGAAAAAATTGTAATGTCCAACTACGGGGCTGAAGAAATAAGGCAGCAATATGTTAGCATAACATTTTAACAGGGCACATACCTTGAAAAGATGAGGCTCCAGGATACCAAGGCCGTTTCAGCCGGAGGGGAAACAATGATGGGTACATGGGAAAAGTGGTCAAAGGCTCAATTTCCCACAATGACACCCTTGGCTGCTTCTCACCTGCAGTTGATTCATCCCAGCCAACCTACATTTAAAAAAGGAATGAACATAAAATATAAATAGAACTAATTACAAGTGTTAAGCAAAGCAACAAATTTGTGAGGCATGCAATCATGATGCTAAAATTAAATTTCCTGACAACTATATGCAAGCATACGATAAGAAAAATATTTGATGAAGATACAGGAATTTGACTTCTAAATATGTCGCATAAAAAAGTCTACACCTATAATTGTCAACAAATATAAATCAATACTCAGAAACCTTTAGCCTTGGAATGCAGCCTTAACAGTTTAAAAGTTTCACAAACCTTGTAAATGAATCAAAGTTATAGGGCATAACTCAAGTTATGTAATTGGCATAGCTATGACACCCGTGGAACAAGGATGTATCGTCTAACAATGCTTTATCTACACATGATCCAGAAGTTAGCGGACAAACAAGTCATGGGTGTACCATGTGCCAATAAGTTGGTCAAACTTAGACCCCATTTCAACAGTCACTGCACCAGAAAAGTGCACTTTGTAAATAATTTTCCAGCAAAACTAGCAACTGTAAGCATGGGTCGTATCTTCCGCCAGTCCCAATGGAGACGTGTAGGGTTCAAGTCACAGTTGGAACATGAGTGTCTTGTTTTAAAAAAAAAGGAATTTGGATTTAGAGTTTCCTTACCAAGTTTTTTTTTCCTTAGTTGGTACTCACACACACATGCCTCCACTGAGGCTCGAACCCCTAACCTCCCTTTGGGAAGTAGGATCCTGGTACTGCTAGGCCACTGGCCTGTTGGTCTTAATTCCAGACCTAAAATGGCCTAATCTGGCTTCTTTCAACATATGAACACATTTATCAAGATTTGTATTTCTGACAAAATTTTTAGATAATTGATACAACTAATGAAGAAATTGTTTCCTCCTTTGCCACAAGATCAAATATACACTTGAGTACTAGAATGTAGAGGTGCATAATGTAAAGACAAATAAACTACATGCAAACATAAAGGCACCATATTCATGAGCAGGTTTACCTTGACAGATCTCCAATAAGAGTTTGGCCAACGTACAGGATCTAAGTCGCCAATGCCAGTTATTGTACCCATGTACCTGGATAATGCAAATCATCCGCATATAAGAAAACAAAATTTCCCAAATATTAAATATGGGATGCACGGGCAGAATCAAATGAATCCCACACCTTTTTAAGGGTATTTCAGATTTAATTGGGTTGAACTTGGGCAAACTACATTTTCATGCTCCAATACCCATTTACTATTGTGTCACCACGATAACAAATAATAATATAATATCAAAGCACAAAATGCAAGATCAATGGTTTTGAGTACATGAAGAACCAGCCACAGACCAAAAAGTAGGGCGCATACGCATACCACCTGTCCCTCAATAGTGTGACATGCAGGAAATATTGCAATAAATCAGAATTTCTTCTGGGGATGTTTGACTATCCTAGCAATAAATACTATTATAGCATATGTCAGGCAACAACTTATTAAGTATTATCAAACCAAAAAGAAATGAGTCCAATGTAAGCACAGTGAGATTTTGATGCAGTACTATGAGGTGATTAAAAAACAATTACCAATAACATACTAAAAAATAAAGAGGAATGAGTACAACGTAATGCACAGTAAAATTACAATGCAGTGCTAAGAAGTTCAAAAAAAAAAAAACTAACTTATCACTATGCTAGATGTAATACCAATTATAAAACTTTTGTTATGTTAATGCAAGAGATTCACAGAACATTTATCTATGTCTAAAAAAATGAATGGCATACAGAATAATCAATTACTGAAATACCTGCGGACACTTGATTCTTCAGTTTCAAAAAGCATCCTAAAGCGCATCCCAACAGAAACACGTGTATGAAATACAGCTTTCACATACTTCGAAAGGGGTATGACAAACTCAGATGGACTGGCCCTGATATGATAAATGTGTGAGTAAAAATAAAAGGGAGAAGCTATAAAAGATAGTAATTCAGTTGCCACCTTGGATTATAAAAAATGGTGAAACAGCTATTAGTTGCAGCAGCATGAGCTGCGGCTGCAAGTAGTCCAATGTGCATGCTATCACTTGATAGAACAGACGACGGCATCACAGTTTGTGGACGAGTAGCACGGCGAATTCCCAAAAGAAGCTGATTTTTCTCATTCCTATGATGGGAAAAAATAAAAAAATATCAGATAATAACCAATACTCAGGTATTCACACACAACTACAATATCTATAAAAAAAGAAGAAGGTAAAAGTAAAAGATAATCCATACCAGATAAAAAGAACGGAATCCCCAGCAACAAGTCTCTTGGCACTGACAAACACACTCCAGCCTGTAGTAAGAAGATGCCGTTTTGGCTGTCCTGCATGATGAATACAAAAAAAGGACATGTCAGCATGTGCAGAAAAAAGTTTTTACACAACTTACAACATTATTATTTTATTTCATTTAATAATCAAAAGTAAAAAGACACTGCATTTGAAGATCAACAAAGCAGTTCTAGTCGTCCTTTAAGTATTCCACAGGACTAAGTCCCACATAATTACACATGGGAGCAATAGGCAGAATGAAAAATACCAAACATATCTGCCAAGAAATGTCTCAAAAATCAAAATACATGAACCATCAATCAGCCAAGCAAATAAACGAAGCATCTACCAGTCCCCTTAATTAAACAAAACACTATTTAATGAAGGGGAAACTTAGGACTAGGCACATGCTGAAGATGAGACGTCATCAGTGACCGAGATGCAAGGTTCACAGGAAGATTCTGGATGGTATTACTATTATTCAATATCAAGATGCAACATTTCTCAACAGGAAATGCTTTCTTGCACTAGGAACTAGGAAGTGGGACACAGGTTACAACTGTTCAGATGCATATGTTAATTGTGTTACGGCACATTGGGATTTTTGTTTTATTGTGTGTGCGCGCACATGCGTGCTTGCATGTGTGAAAGAGTAAAATGAGTCAAGGCAAGAGAAACCAATCACAAAAATTTCCTCTCGTATCTTTTGTTCTTAGATCTTTCTACTTCCCATTCATATCACAACTTTTACACCCCATTAGTCACATTATCTCTTTAGCAAACATTTCACAACTCATTCGAAAGATAAATCATGGAACATTCCAAAAAAAGTAACATTCCAGATTTGAAGTTCTTCCAATCAGGCAGAATTCCTTGTCAAGTGTCCACCCATTCCACTTATGGCTAACACGAAAATTTCCTCAAAACCTGGTGTGCAAATAATATTTTATACTAACCACCACTATTCTCCACTGCTTCCAGTAAAGTTTCAACCTCCTCAAAAACATCAAATCCCGATCGCCTTGTAAAATGCCCCCATAAAGTTTCAACAGATCAAAAATCTCACCAGGTTCCTCATTCACTCAACTCATTTATATTTGTTGCCCAGTGCAATTCAACTTCTCACTTCCCTAAATTGAAAAGCAACCCAACAGATATTTTTTACAGGTTTATTTTGATACACGTACTAGGACCCCTACTTATGGTGCCCCTCATCAAACATTGAGAATCTGAACTATACTTGAAACTAAATTTGCACTTCATATTCTATACTATCAAGTTCATCAATCATCATAACGAACCACAAGCACTAGTGAACAGCTATATTGCCCCAGCGGCCAGCATCAGAATGGTTACTGGAAATGTGCCCCAAGACTACCTCAACATTGAAAATTAAATCTCCGAGGCTTCAGCTTAAACTTAAAGCACCTATAGGATAATGGTTTTCTTCTTGTGAGTACGCTACAATCTCACATATAAAACAGGGGCAATCCACGGAGGCCAAGTCCTGCCCCCAAATATCAATGTTTGCTCAACTTATTTAAAATTTCCTTGTAAATATATTGCTTTGCTATCATAATGCAATGATCTCACTATTATTCGTGAATGGTCAGGTTCCTCCTAGCAACGAATTGTCAATTGAGAGATCCTTTCTGTGACTAACTACTTTGAAGGTATCCCAAATGTTAAATCCACTTCAGCAGCGATTAACCAAGGTTGATTTGTTAAACTATAATATAAAGGCCTTAGCCATCAATCTCGACCAAACAAAGAAGCTCTCAAAAAAAGTCCTTCAGGCTTGTATTATTTTAACTTGACCATTCCTAACTTCATCACATTTTGGACCTTCTTCCCATACCATTTCCATCTAGTTTCTTATGACTGCTAAATTCAGTCAGCAAGCCACCATAAAGTTTCCTACTAAATTAGACTTGTTACTTTCCCTACGAATTATGTTTGCTACTTTCTCAAAGATATGGGAAGAAAAGAGGAGGATAAAGAAGGAAAGTAGAAAGACAAAGATGAAGATAAGGAAGACGAGTTCCAAGGAGGATGGTGCAAGATCAATCAATTTCAGACCTCTTGACCAAATCGGACAAAAGACCAAAAGGACAAAGTGAGGAGGAGGAGGCAAAGAATAAGAAGAAGAGGGGAGAGAAAGAGACCACAGAAACATCTACACCAATACCATATATGGCATGTCCTAGGAACATAACCACTCAGCCAAATCCCTTCTAAAATTAGACTCTAATCCCCTTCATTTACAAAACATCTAAAATATAAAAAAGTTTATAGTGACAGTAAAGTTTACATTCTTCCTAATAAATAAGACTATTACGATTCCAAACATCAACAATTTGATTAAATGTATTTTTATTAAGTAATACAACCTATCATCCATGCTTTACACATTGATATTCACACATTTTTTCGCACATTGATATTCACACATTTTTTCATAAAGCACCTTGGAAAGCCTATCTATCTTACATCTCCATGACTCCCCTTCATTTTTGGTACACTCACACAAGAGCTTTAAGGGTTTCCTGCTTTTGATGCGTGAACTTGTCTTTTAGCAAAATGGATTGGAGATGATAGAGAAACATAAAAGAAACGCGTTTCCTCACATTGAATAGTTCATTTATGTGGAACATATTATATGAATTCAACACTGGATAAAGTTACAACAACAAAGTAATTAATAATAAAAGCTAAATAAAAAAATATTAGATTTCCTTTCACGGTCAGACAGATAATGTGAGTTTAAGACGACACTTATTTCATGCTATAAAATATCTAAAACAAAAACTTCAAGTTAAACTTCAATAACTAAAGAAGAGGAGTTGATGCACAAAGACATATAGAAGTTAAAAGGGATGTCAGACTATGAAAGTGTGAAACAACACAGTGCTACAAGCTACAATTATACCTCAACACCAACTAAAAAATAAATGAAGGTAAGATAATCATTATATAATGTTCTCAAGTTGGCAAATTCCAAGAGGTTTTTGCTCTTAATAGATAGATATGTGGTTCGGGATGTAGTAAGACATTGCAATTGAGTCATTCAAAGTATCCCCATTTACAAACTACAACAAACCACCCAGTCCACAAGTCAAATATTTTTTTGCAGTTATTACAATTGTGTAGTCCAAAGGCTATATTAGTGGCTCAAGGTTTCTTGAAAGATTAAAATGTTTTACACAGGATGAAAGAAAACACCTACCGCGGAAAATATGCCTAAACTTCCACTCAGAATCATGAAGATCCCTTGCTATAAGCTCCTGAGCAGGTGGTTGCTGAGAGAAATCCTGAGGGGGCCAAGAAAAAGCACTTTCCATCAGCACAAGATATGTATCAGAACAAGCATAACACACAATCGGACATCACCAGAGGAGGGAAAACTTTCTCTGCAGCACGACGAGGAACAGAGAACCCTCCATGGGTACTAGTATCACTTGCTGTTAATGTCTTGCAGAAATAATTTGTTGGTTGCTTGCTTGGAATCCCCAGCTCGACAGGAATATATGTATCTTTTTGTTCTTGCTGCATATTCACCACAAAAAATCAATTTTGTTCTTCATTTCACAAGAATTAACCAAACAGCATTTTAATTAATTAAAATAAATAAAAAAAATAAAACTTAGGACTACCGATGTCAAGGGCTGTAAGGTCATTTGAGCATATACTTCATCTGTTTCCACGTCTGCCTGAAATTCCAGAAATGAGCAATTATTTCTTAATGGTCTATATGACATTCACAAGTAGTAGCTCAATTTGTAGAAAGGTAAATAATCACACAGAACAGACTCACATGCATTGTCACATTGTGGAGTTGACATATCAACTGGGGCGGCAAATTCGGGTAGTTGGGTATGTGCGCATCAATTTCTTTGTTAGTTGTAGCAGCAACCTGGCTTCCAATTCTAATTGGGGTTATTACAGATGGATGAAAATTGTTTTATTTCATCATCTAAATGCATGCATATGAATTTAGAAAAGAGAAAGATATACAGAGAGAGAGAGAGAGAGAGAGAGAGAGTCTATCATAAACAACAGAAAAAACCTGCTCACTGTGACCCTGAGGGAAGTAGACCACGCGACTACCAACTGTTGGTAAAGACACAAGAGGGCCAGCGCAGGCATGCCATAGCTCTGAATTGAGACATTTCTTCTCCCCTTCCATAACCAAAACACAAATTAACAAATTTCAGCTATTTTAAAAGTAGTCTTTTGAAGGCAATGAACAAAAGGAAAAAAAAAAAAATAATAATGCAATGCAAAGGCAAATATAAAATAGGAAAATAATAAAAATGATTAATGACAAAGACAGAGATACAGACATATGTAAAAGACTACAAAGAAGAAAAGGAGCTTAAAAAAAGGTGGGGATAAAGAATAATATACCTTCATGAGCTTGCTGACCAAACCCTGATGTTGAAAGCTTCATATTTCTTTATTTATATATATATTACAATCAATTATAGTATAAAAATTTCAGCTCAAAAACCCACACTTATGGCTGTCATGATCTCAAGCCCTAAACTTTTGTCTTCCTTGTCTTCAGCAAGCTCCTCCTCTCTTCAATTAAGCTCCGCTCTGCTAGTCCGAGCAATTCACATACATTTGATATATAACAGCGAAAAACACCAACTCAGGCCCTACAATTGGAAATCCCAAGCCACATGCAAAGCCTAAGCCATTGGGGATTCCCAATTTCAGTACTTGCTCAGCTTTATTCAGCAAATCAAAACCCTAAAAAGCGAAAGGGAGTGAGTGATGATGACATCAGCCGAGCTCTGAACACCACACGTCCTCCGACACCGCCATGACCGAGCTCGAAGCTTTTGCTGTGGCCAATCACTGTCGACGACGAGAGAAAAAGATAGATGCACAAGGTCTACACCTTTTTCTTTTTATAGGGAACACAGACCAAGCTAAGCTCGACCTGGTAGCAAACAGTGGAAGTTAGAGAGAGAAAGAGAGAGAGGGTAGAGAGAGAAAGAGGTGTGTGTCACTGTGGAACTAGGCTCCTCTCTCTCTCTCTCTCACTATTATATGTGTAATGTATATATCTATCGGCGTAAGGTATTGGAAAGGTGGAATCCGGGCCGTTCGGAGATCCGTACCCAGGAATCGTGGCCGTCCATTTCAGAGTGAAATGACAGCAGGCATGTGCCACCATCCTTCAGTGGTCGTTGTCAGAGTACGGAGCTTTCAATATAAATATATATACATACATAAAAGAAGGAGAGAGAAAGTGAAAGTGTGTCATATGAGAGAGAGGTGCTTTTAAATTTATTTATTAAATAAAAAATTAGTTGGACCAAAATCACTTAAAATGGGAGCTGATATGTATATGTATATATATATATATATATAATTAAGTTATATAGAGTGAAAATAGAAGAGGCAAATTACCCTCGAAGCCTGATAATTGCACCCATTGAGAATAATTGTGACTTAAAATCTGACTTACTATGTTACACGTGTATTATTTACAAATTTTGAATCTCGCAACATCCATCTTATAAAGCAATCCATTTCAAAATATACATATCATTTTAAATTTCAAAATTTGAAGTTATAAAAATTAAATCCGATCCGATTATACGGTTCACTTGAAGAGACTCATTATGGATAGGGTTGCAAATGAATTGTGCTATTTATTAACAGCTCAAGCTCGGCTCGAACACGTTCGTTAAATAAATGAGTCAAGTTCAAACTCAATTTCTAAACTTATTTAGTAAATGAGCCGATCTTGAGCAATACTGGACTCAGCTCGTGTAAGCTCGTGAATATGAGTTCGTATAAACTCATTTATATTCATGAACATAAGCTCATTTATGTTCATAAACCGTAGGCTCATTATACGGCTCGTTTCCATTTAATTTTATTTTTTAATAAAATTCTTCAAATTTTGAAAATATAAGATAAATATACAATAATTTACGAAATGAGTTAGTAAGCTTGAAAACGAGCTTGAAATTTTTTTGACTATAAATTCAATTTATTTTATTAAATAAGCCGAGCTTGAACTTTTGAACACCATGATAAGCCCGAGCCAAACTATAAACAAACGAGTCAAAGTAGCCTAAGGCTCGACTCATTTGTGGCCCTAATTGTGATTCCTCTTTATAATTTTTATTTTATATTTATATTTATTTATTAAATTATTATTATTTTTTGTTGTTGAGGATTTTGTATATTTTATTTCGCATGCTTTTGCATGCTGGTACTGTACCTTTTACCGGAAATAAGTAGTCTCTCTCACTCTCTCTCTTTCGGGTAATTTTCCCGCCAATAATTGTGGGTGGGTCCGGTCCGGTCCAGTTTGACAGAACAATGCTTCCGCTGAATTTCATGGAAATAGTTGGCCCCAAAAGATAAAAGTTACTACTTAATTCAGCCTTATTTTATGTATGTTATGTGAACAATTTGGATAATTTTCAGATAGTTTCAAAAATCAGTTTCATTAAATAAAGGCTTTTTTAAAACCGTCTTCAACAAATCAAATTTGAAAAATTATCAAATTTTAAAGTGTTTTCATCTTAAAAAGCTGAATTAAATAGCTTTTTAATTCTTTATATATATATATATATATTTTTTTTTTTCCTTCATAATTCTCTATAAAATTATCCATCACTAGTTGAAAGTAGTTTTGTAATTAATGATTTATGTTAACATTAGATTATATTTTATTTTCCTTTTTTTGTAATTTTATATATATATTTCTTTTCCCAACAAATAAGCTAATAAAAGGTCAAGTTAATTAAATCATTTTCAAATCTATGGTTGAGATTGAACAATATCTAATTTGAATTTGTAGTTTAAGTTTGTGACACGTGACTAATTAAAGAGTTTGAATGTAATAGTATAGTAATTGAACAAGACTTTTAATCAAAATTTTGGAATTTTGGAATATATTGGAGTTTAATTGTTAAATTAAATAAACTGCTTAATACCACCAAATTTAGGTTCAAATGATGTTTTATGAAAAATATAATGTGCATGAGTAGCTTATTTATTTATTAAAAAAAGAGAGGAAAATAAAATAGTTTAATGACTTGAGCTAAAATACTTTGAACTAAACTTGAATTTAAGTCAAATTTGAACAAATTCCATATTCCAAATTTTGAAAGCTCATGTAATAATCAGTTCGACTTTAATTCATTTACAACCTTAAGCATGACTAAGGGCTATTTATTTACGAATTCAAATATTCCTAAGATTTTTTTATCACCATTGAAAATTAATTTTAAAGCATCAAGCCATTTAAAAAAAAAAAAAAAAACAGAAATATTTGAATTCAACATAAGAATTTGTTTGTTTTTATTTTAAAAATTTTCAGAATAAGCAAAATAAAAACATACAAATATTTGAATTCAACAAAGAATATAAATTTATGAGTGTCAAAGTTTCATTCAAAAAAAAAAAAAAAAAAAAATTTGAACTTTGGACAAACTGGATATAAAAAGTTGCTTCTCCCTTAGGCAGTTTGAATAATTTGGACCGTTAATGTTATGGTGATTGCTTGTGCCTCCAAATACTTGACATCAAGATCAAGTCGCAGAGTTCTCTCTCTATTGGACCAACAATGGCTCACAATGACACAAATCAAGCAAATCCAGTCCAACCTCATCGTCTCCGGCACCATTTCCGACCCTTTCGCCGCCGGCAAGCTCATTGCCTTCTGCGCAATCTCCGACCGCGGCGACCTCCATCACGCTCACTGCCTCTTTCGCCTCCTTCCTCATCGCTCCGCTTTCCTGTGGAACACAATGATCAGATCTTTCACCGAAAGAAATGAAGGTTTCAAAGCTCTGTCTATGTACAAAGAGATGCTCAAAAATGGGGTTTTACCCAACAATTACACATTCTCTTTCGTTCTCAGAGCTTGTTCTGAATTGGGATTGGGGTTTATGTACCATGCCCAAGTGATTAGATTGGGTTGGGAAGCTTATGATTTTGTACAAAATGGGTTGATTCATTTGTATGCTACTTGTAATTGCATTGATTCTGCTCGTAAATTGTTTGATGGTTGTTTGAACCGTGATGTTATTACTTGGACCTCTGTGATTAATGGGTATTTAAAGTCTGGGCAGGTTGTGATTGCACGAGAGCTGTTCGATCAAATGCCGGAGAAGAATGTGGTTTCTTGGAGTGCAATGATTACTGGGTATGTGCAGATTGGGTTGTCTGAAGAGGCGCTTGAGCTCTTTAATGATATGTTGGTTGCTGGGTTTCGGCCTAATCACGCTGGGGTTGTAGGAGCACTGTCTGCTTGTGCATTTCTTGGTGCTTTGGATCAAGGTAGATGGATTCATGCGTATGTTGATAAAAACAAAATGGAGCTAGATAGAGTTTTGGGCACCGCGCTTGTGGACATGTATGCAAAGTGTGGGTGTATAGAAACTGCGTATCGTGTCTTTGATCAGATGCCATGTAGAGATGTGTTTGCTTTTACTTCTTTGATCTCTGGTCTATCAGATCACGGTCAGAGTGCAAGTGCAATTGAATTGCTCACAAGGATGGAAAATGAAGGGATTAAGCCGAATGAAGTCACATTTATATGTATTCTAAGCGCTTGTAGTCGAATGGGGCTGGTAGAAGAAGGGTTGAAAATCTTTGAAAGCATGAATAATGTTTACGGGATTAAGCCAGGGGTTGAGCACTATGGCTGCTTGGTAGATCTATTAGGTAGAGCAGGGGTCTTAGACTACGCAAAGAAGGTTGTTAGAGAGATGCCCATGGAACCAGATTCTTATGTTTTAGGCGCACTACTCAATGCTTGTAGAGTTCACGGTGAGGTTGACATGGGTAGGGAAACCGTTAGGGGTTTGATCGAGAAGAAGCTTGACCATAGTGGGATTCATGTTCTTCTCTCAAACATCTATGCCTCGGCCAACAAATGGGATGCGGTGGAAAATGTAAGGAAGGGAATGGAAGAAAAGAATGTGAAGAAGGTTCCTGGTTGTAGCTTGATTGAAGTCAATGGGGTGGTTTGTGAATTTATAGCAGGAGATAGGTCTCATGTGCTTATGGAGGATATCATACCATTTTCACTTGCTATTGAAACTCACTTGAAATCTCTGTGCTTTGATGATGATTTTATCGCTACTGAACAAGTTAATTTGTAACCTGAAGCGGGTCCACAATTCACTCTTAGAAGGACCAGTCTTTGAGAGAAACAAGCTTTTGGTCTAATCAGAGGACCTTCTTCTCCACCCACATCGCTCTCAACATGGTACATTTTTTAGGTAACATGCATTTACTTAAATAAATTATACATTGTATATGTGAAATTACTGGGTCCTCAGTGTTTTCTTTGAACTTATAAATTTGTGGCATTATGGACTAGAGCCTTCCGTATATAAATTATATATGTAAAAAATATTTCATCCTGTTATTATGATGACATGAGTAAACTACTATGATTTAGATTTACTTACAGAAGATTTTCAAATTTTATTTTTCAAGGAGATCTAGTGAGAAGATGAGTACATCTGCTATTGTTTGTTAAAGAATTGAAAAGAATACCTAATTTTTTTCCCCAAGAAGAAATGCAACAAGCTTCTGAAATTCTCCTTGTCATCACATTGTTCCTATGTCCTTCACGACTTGGTTTTTAGATTCACATCCACAGATGGAAGGGGTGACCTACTTTGAAGTATTTGTTCGTGTTGAAACGTAGAAGAAGGAAAGAAAAGCCTAATTCAAAGCGACCAAGACCGTTTTCTTTATGAAAAATAGATTATAAAAAGTTTTCTTTAGTCAATTTAAATAGACTTTGTACTCTAGCCCTACTACTAATTTTTATTGTCAGTGATACGACTGCCTTCTGGAATATTTTGCAAAATTTCTTGTGTCAAGTTACATTTTCTTTCTTTGATTCCACTGTTCTGTTTTAGATGATAGAGGCAAAGGGTTAACCTCTTAATGTGGATGAGAGGAGATACTAGAAGCCAATGCCAGCACTTCCTTAATATTTGGACGGCTGAAATATTTCGGTAGACGTGGCAGAAAATCAATCAGAACTACAAAGAATCGAACATAATCAGTACTAGGCGATATTTACAGCTTATTTCAGGATATGGGTGGTAATATTGATTTGCATGGTTTCATAACAAGTTGCTCCATTTTTGACCTGGAGGTCACGGATTCGAAACAAGAAACAGCCTCTCCACGTGCGGAGGTAAGACTGCGTGCATCTAACCTTTCCCATCCCCGCAGTGGCGGGAGCCTCGTGCACTTAGGCTAGCCTCTTATTATTTATTTATGGTTTCATAACCTTTTAAGTATCTTCAGCAATCATGCAGGGAAGATAATAAGCTGCTGCAGAGACATAAATGATTCAACCACCAGAAATGTATATTGGCATCTCACAGTAACACCAACAATATATCAAGAGCCATATCAAATCGAAATAGATGGCAGACTCAAGAGCTAAGTTTCCAGCATCAGTCTGTCCTCTCCCGTCAGAAATGTGGGATTTTCCATTGAACTATGTTCAGTCAGAAAATTGCACATTCACCAGCCAGTAAATTCACCAATCCAAGCAGTCACCAACTCGGGAAAAAAAAATGCAGGGGAGCTTGAAAGTTGCAGCTGCTTGGATTCCTCAATGTTAGCACGGACTTATTTCGCTGCATACTCTCATTAGAGTGCTCAATGCTGACACCTCTTCAATTGAATGCTGATTTCTCACCATTGTCTTGAGTTTCGAGGTTCTAGAGGTCTTTTTGATTCCAGCATGAGCTGTTGCTGCAACTGCCATGCATTCAAGATGGCCAATGTTTATAAACTAGTACATGTTCATATATTGAGTTTTTTTTTCCCCCTACAATGGTGGTGTCCAGCGTCTTAAAACACGTCGTAATCCACCACCGAACACGTGTGGAGTCTTCCATCCCACATGCAACAAGCAATTACCGGAAAACTTCCATTAGGTCACAAGATATTAAGGAGTTGGGCAGCAGTGGAGAGCCTTTTAAATCAGGTGACAACATGTCCCTGTTGATAGAAAGAAGCCTCAGAAGGTTGTGGTCCCCCAGGGGCCAGAGATACCTCATGCACATGGCATGTATTCCTCTGTTTACACACACACACACACACACGTATCTATAGAGAGAGAGGGAGTCTTTTTGGATACGATTCCATTTCTTTTACTCAAATCTGTTGAGATGATTGCAAGTGTCCTCTGGCTTTTGAATCATTCGAAAGCTTCATTTTTGTTGTCTAATTGTGAACGAAACAACAAAATGAATGGAATGTGCTCATTGTGTCACAGCCTAATCATGGAACACTTATTGGACCATATCAATTTGTTCACGACTGCGATGGATTCATGAGCAATGTGTACGTTTTTCACGCTGTTTTTATTATGAACTTTTCGAGATTCCATTTAATGTTGTGATTCAAGCTTTAGGTACATTATGCGTATTGTCACTTGACAAAAATTTATCACATTCCACAAGAATACACCAGATTTGTTGCTCTCTCTTGGTTCTTCATTTATTTCTTTTTCAGTTCTTTTTCAATTTTCAAAAGAATTATACTTTAATTTTCCAAGAACAAGACACGGTGATTTATTAAAATTTAATGGCTGGGTTTAAAGACGCAAAAGTAGTTATAAATTGATCAACTATTAACGAAACTTAGGACTTCATCCATTAACAAAAATAGAAGAGGTCACCACTTGAAGATTTCTTGATCTTTTCTGTTCATTATTCTATATATATTTTGAAATTTGATTTTCATGGTGTGCAATTTTTTTTCACAAGTCAACAAGCATGGTTTGCAAACACAACTTATTTTCATTTTATTTGTCATTTGTGTTTCTAATAAACAAATTAGAAAAGCTATGGTTTGCAAAAACAACTTATTTTCATTTTGTTTGTCATTTTTGTTTCTAATAAACAAATTAGAAAAGCTATGCACATAATCTGTGATGTTCTTTGTACTTGTATATATTTAAATGCTTAATTTTAAAAAATATATATTCTCCTGGCCAAAACGAGTTTGGGGTTAGGTCCACCACATCCTAAAACTGCCTCATTGCAAACCCCATATACAGCACATATGGTGCCAAAAAGAAAAGAATAATGCTACTCATGTAAAACATGAGCCTCGACAACAACAATAAGGTAGTTCCGTTCTAACAAGGTTGTCGATTCTGACCTCAGGGTTATAGGTTCAAAAAAAAGAAACAACCTCTCTACAGAGGTAACTTTGCCCACATTTAACCCTCCTAGGTCCGGCAACGGCAACGGCAACGAAGCCTTGTGCACCGGGTGAACTCGGACGTGAGACGTTCACATCGATGCCCTCATCGTAGCACTGCTCTAAAGATTCTCCCATACCAATACCAAGGGACTCTTGGGGCTGTGGGGGCATAAGCAGAAGGATGCTTTGTTGCTCTGATACAACCCTAACCTAATTGGATAAAGGACAATGTGCAGAACTCCAGAAGCCACCATGAAAAGCAACAAAGCCATCCAGGCTAGCATTGTATGGTTGGTATATAATCTACACATCAAAAAGTGGTCATGCGAAGTGTATCGTGTTAAAGATGAGCCCAAGTCATCTACATAGTACGATTCTGGATGCTACTCAATAAAGAACAAATTGGTGGACACCACCATTCAATTATCATCCTGAAAATGGTAGTACCACCTTGGCGGATTCACTTAAATTCAGAGAAAAAGATCAAAACTGACATACCAACAGACACGGTTAAAAGCGCTTCAAAACCGACAGTACCATTAAAAGCGCTTCAAAACCGACAATACCAACAGACATACAATATAGTAAGCAATATGGCATTTAATAGAAAAGAGTAGAGACTGCGGCCAACCCTAATCATGTGGGCATTAAGGCAAGGATGATGATAATGATGATGAAAACCGACATACCAACATAACAAAAGTCTGCTTTTAAACAAGCATCACGGGATAAAATGCTCCTAAAATCACCCAAATCAAACTATTTCCCAGTGAATTTTGGGGCTGATGCTTGGTCTGATATGAGCATGCTATTTTTAATTTAGTGTGCTAAAAAGTATTACAGGCCAATAACCAGTGCACACAGACATGCCATAACCAATCCCATGATTAAAAATCCACAACACAAGAAATTCAATGACAAACCTTAACCAATAAGGTGGTCAGTCCAGACAACACAACTATGACTCAGATATAAGCAAAACCAAATACCTGCTGATCTGCATTTTTAAAGATGGACTTGGCAGATACACATACAGATCACATAGACTAAACTGAAAATGCAACATAAGAAGAAAAGGATAGGCAAAAAGACCACAACTGTAACCGCAAAATGTTTTCCTCACCCGTAACCTCAGAAATCGACCACCCCTAACTCCTCTGTCTCGTATTTCCATTGTAAGGAACTCAAGAGTAGGGTTTCCAAGTGAAACTCACATTCATGGATAGAAGAAAAGGATAAGAAAAAAGACCACAACTGTAACCGCAAAATGTTTTCCTCTGTAAGGAGAGAAAATTTCAAGTTTTCACCTGAAATTTTTCTTCACCGAAACCAAAGTTTTGGAGAGTATAATCTGAATTCGAACAAGAAAAATGGGGGAAAACGTGTATCCAGAATATTTATTTCCTTTGATAAGTAAATCCACTGAAACAAAAGAGTATTAATGCATACAAATGAAATAAAGATAATAGCTTATAGAATTAATCAATATATACGCGCAACTTTAAAAGAAGTTGGGAAGCCTCAACTCCCCTGATGTTGATTATAATCATCATACAAAACTATATTAGGAGCTTGTAGCAAAATGGGTTATAAAATAAAACTTACGCTTGGTGAGCCTGAGCCTAGCCATGTTTAAATTGTCAAGTATGCATAAATGTACATCATTAAGAACTGACAAACCTCAGCAACATTTATACTGGAACTGTTCATTTTTCAAGTTCATATCTACAAGAAGACATTATTGCAGTGACTTCCAAACAGATCGAAACTAATGTCCAGCAATTTCAGATTACAATAAAGCCCTCATATAAACCTATTATTTTGAAGGTGTTCGATTTGCTGCCACAACTAGAACAGGGAAAAATCCAATGTTGCTCCTATAATATATAGTTGAGAGAAATCTTCAGTGCCATACTACTCTGTTAATTTTTTTTCCCCTAATGACAAAACTACGCGTCACAAAACGAAAAAATTCTGCAAAAGGGAGAGATTTAAATCCTTTTGGTAGGGTATAGCCAAGGTTCATAATCTATCAGAAATCTTAAAAGCAAACTACTCAAGTATTCTACAAAACCTTTAATTTTTTTTTTAAAGTGAAGATGTAATAGAAAGTGCGCATCCCATAGAATACACAAAGGCGGAAGCCAAAACAAAAGATCCTATGGGCCCAAGGAAACCAAACAATCAACATAGAGATTCTATTTGAATTGAGATATCCATCATCAATTATTGAGTCAAAAAACCTGCAACAATATCTAAAAAATCATCTCTTTCAAATATGGTCATCAGTGAAGTTAGGCAAAGAAGAGACGCAAATCTTCCAAGAAACATGGAAATCAAGTGGGTAAACATGTATGAAGTGGGTTAAAGAGGTTTCACAAGGGAAATCACATCAAATGAACTGAAGAGAGCACAAATATATTTATGATGGAGATCTACTTGACTTCTGTATACTAGAAAAACCACAAGGAAAAGCCTTCATTTTTATGACTCCCAAACAGCATAAGGTTGATTGTAATCTTTTTCAGAAATGGGGCTCACAGCAGATCACATCAAGGTTACCAGGATACGTAGGATCGTTGTGGGCTCCGTATAATAGGATCGAGAATCGTAAGATTCTACTAAACTAGTAGAAAAATAATTCAAAAAATAACTTCTCAAACAATAATATCTCTAATAGCAAGAATAAGCCCAAAACACAAAAAAGAAAAAAAGAAAAAAATGTATAAAAGCACCATTTCAAATTTTGTTACATACTTCTATCTAAGAGAATATAGCTTAAAAGGTAGAGCTCTCATGATAACTACACAACATCAATTCAATTAGAATTGCGAGAGACCGTACTAACTTGAAATAGATGCTAGGTAGTAGGTCCAAGAGGAATCGACCAATGTTTGTTAAAAAGTGAATCCAAAAATAATAATAATTAACAAATAACTAACAATATTTATATAAAAATTGGGTGATAGACGCTTCTATTTTTGTGTATAAAAAATATCTGCATTGTATTTAAGGAATGAATGAACAAATTTTCATCATATGAACATCAAAATTGAACCAAAGTCTACAAATTTCAATTCCAAGACTCCAATTCCATGCAACCGAACACACCCTAATAGTAAATAGTCTAATACCAAGTAAGAATTTACTAAATCAAAACTAAAGAAAATTAAAACCAAGAAGTCAAGAAAATAAAGTTAGAAACAGAACAAGAAGCCCACAAAACCCTTCCCCTATATTCACTACAAAATCACAATCAACCATGCATATCAAAACTCCAAGAAATCAAAAACAAATACAAAATATATATATATATATATATATATATATATATATATATATCAATTCTACCAACGATTCTACTGATTCTACCAAAGACATGATTTATGTGCGATTCAGATCAACTTGGGGTGTTAGGATATTAGAATCATGCGATTCTACAATCTAAAATCACAATTTTAACAACCTTAGCTCACATCAGTTAAAGTTCTGGAATAAGGTGCTACTAGTAGACAATTTTTTTTTTGGTGGATTGGTTATCAGTAGAGCTAGTTACTGATATTAGAAGAGGAATATGAACTGATGGTGTTAAAAACTACAGGAATGTAGCTAATATGTTATTCATATTTGTTGCTAAGGATATCTTAGTGTCTTGCTTTGCAGGAAAGCAGGTATTGCTAGGCAAAAATTTCAAAGGCTCGTGCCTTGAGTTGTGTGCACCAGAATAAAGCAGCCTCACTTATGGCAGGATGAGGTGCTTTGATTGATCCTTGACGAGCCTAATGGTTTTTGGGACTTATTTCAACGACTTACAAGTCTACAAAAGTCGTAATATTCTATATTAAAAAATGAAATATTAATTGAGAATTCGCAGCTTTGAAGCTCCTAATTAGAGGGTTAACATATTTTCTTCTTAATGACAAGTCAGGTTTTCCACATGCTATTTCACCTATTCCAATAACCCATAAACTATTTTACAGTCAAACATTACCCCTAGGACATCGATACAGTGCGGTATTCATAACTTCCCACATACACCAAAAATATTGCTACCTATGTCAACCAACATAGCAGAGACAAAATGGAAAATCCTTGCTTTAAGACCCCCAAAACCATGAGCAGAACCCTAATGCTCAACTAATAAGTAGGAAAGGCAAATTGGCCCGGCCCCTAATTGAATGGGTACAATGAGCCATTAAACAGAAAATGCGCAGGCATGGGTTAAATAGTGAAAATCTGATTCCGATTTGAGCTGGAAACAGGTATGTGAGTTTTCCGCCCTGCCAGACCTGATCATGTAATAATATTACCACTATACCCTTGTTTAGATTTTATATTTTTTAAATACCCCCAAGTATATATATGTCCTATGGTTTCTTCTCTAATATCCACCTTTCTCTCGAAAGCTGTCAGTGGCCACAAACACAGCCCCCCACCCCTGAAGCTGCCATCCACTTGTTGCACTCACTTCGGCACAGGCAATGACAATCAAGTCTTCTAGTCACTACATCTCATTCTCTCGGCAGCTTTGAGTTGTTTCTCTCTCTTTGAGATCGAATCTCACGATGCCAAAAAAGTCTTATTGGTCCTCCACAGCTTTGCCACTCTTTGATCTGCAGTAATAAACCTCAGTCGTTCAATTGGCAATCCTCTCTCTTCTAGGTTAGTACTTCATTTTAGATCTATATTTATATAAATCTCCAGACAAGTTTCTGTGTGTACAAACATAACTTAGGTTTCTGTATGTGTGTGTGTGATGGGACGGGCCAGGACGCGACAAGAACAAGAACAGCCCCGGATTTGGATGGGTATGGGACAGTTTATTGTTAAAAGGGCAGTGTAGGGCTTAGGCAACCCGTATCATAGTTAGTAAAATATGGTGAAAAAAATATGTGTCTGTAAAGGTATAGATATAATTCACTTTTCTTGTTTTTAAAAAAATTGGCGTAAAAAAAAAAGTAAAAATATAAATACATATATGCTCGAGAATAATACCTTTTTTTGTTTAAAAATTCGATCACATATACACTAATATTCTTCACTTATGCCTTATACATTTTCATTTCAATAATATATAAAAGACTAAATATAATAAGGAAGTATGGAGTGTTGTAGAGAGATGGAAGTTTCTACAACATTGAAGAATTTGTATAAATTGATAGATTGGAGAAGATTTTAGAAGTTGTAGGGAGTTTGTAAATATGTATATATTTAGGTGGAGAGTTCTGAATCTCCTAATACCATCCATTGTAATGTATCCTATCCGTTTATTAATCTATATATAGGTAGAGTGATCACCTAAGAGTTAAGTAGAGTCATTTTGAAACGTGTAGGTGTAGGTTTTGTGTAATGTTGGAGAAAGGTTTGGTGCCATTCCTACCCGTGAGAACTCAAAACCCTCCTCATAAGAATTGAAAATTAAAGAGATGTGGATCCACATACCAATGGGTGAATGTGTGAATGCTCGTGAAGATTCCGATTGCAGCAAGAAGCCGACTACCAAGGTTGATTAGGAGCTTCCAACGAGTATTACGATGGCCCGATTATTAGAAATGTCTTAAATCAAGCCGAACAATATTGTCCCTCCCTAATTTGTGATTAAAAAACCTTTCCATTATACAATTTATGAAACTTATATAAAAAAATAAATCAATCAAAGATAATCATAAACCAGATACAATCTAAAATAGGAATCAACACTCAAGAACATGTCACAAGATTCTAGACATATATAAATTCACGTGACAAGATTCCAGACATATATAAATCAATCCTAAACATCTCACAAGATTTTAGACCTATATAAATCAATGACAAGGTATTCATCCCTCCTGCCTTATTTGACCCAGAGCCGTAATAGCTCACTTCTCACACTCGGAGGAACTAGGAAAGGAAGGCAAACAAGCCAAGTCTTAGGTGGGGCACTTACAAATTGAAATTGCTGGCCTTATTTACTCCATGACATATTTTTTATCAAGTGGGAGCAAGGAATCCAACCTATGCCCCAAGATTGGTTTGAGATAACCAAGTGAGGTATGAGAGAGATTAGAGCGCTCACAGTAGTTCTACCTATAGAAAGGATCATGAAAGAGGCTATCAGAATGGTACTTGGCAGAGGGCAGGCATTCCATTCCATTCCATTCCAAAGCCCAAACCTTAACTAGAACCAAAGGGTTGAGCCCGTCACACTGCTGGACTGTATTGAAGTGGAATCTATAAATTTTCTTATGACAAAAGTGGGAGAATATAAGTGGGATGACAGATAAAAGCTAGGAGCTTTTCTTAATGAGCTCAACTTTGCAAGATTACAACATTGTATCCATAAATCCAATTAATATCAGCAATCTATACCCAACACCATATAATAGCATCATCAACTACAACACATCAGATGACATTATAACAGAATCATCAATAGCTTCAAATAACAACAGAAATAAAATGTGTGATATAGAAGTGTGAATACAGGCGATTTTAATGTATTTAATAACAATACTTAGAGATTTATAAGTTGATTAACACGGATAAAAGCAAAACTAGTATAATAACGGACGCTTACGAGAACAAACTTTTGAGAAACCAAATACCAAATCAATCCACCCCAATTCTCATCAATCATGCCACTTCTTTTGCAGGCTTCAGGGGAGCCTCAGCAGGAATCGCGACGTAGCCCATCTTCGGCTTGACATCGTCATCGTCATTGTCATCATCATCAAACTCATCATCGGAATCACGGAACTCGAAGCGATTGGGAACAATGGCGGACCAGAAAATGTAGATGGTCACGGCGGTGAGAGTGCCGCAGCCGACGCCTAACAGCAGAGCCCAGACGGCGCTGAGGACGTCCTTGGAGCGATCGCGGAAGGAAGCGCCGACGGAGGAGTAGAACCCCAAAGGCAAGGGGCGTTTCTCGATGTCGGCGTCAGCGTCGGAGGCGCGATCGACGATGGTGGTGTCGTACAAGGGGAGGTGGGGTAGGTGGGAGGGGAGGCGGGGTTTGGGGTCGAGTTCTCTGACCTCGGTGAAGAAGAAGGTGAGGAATCGACCTTGATTCTCTTGGATTGGGAAATTAGGGTTTTGATGGAGGGGAGTGGAGGAGGATGTGGTGGTGGTGGTGGTGGTGGTGAAGAAGATTAGGGTTTTACAGGGGTGGAAGCGGCCGGGTCTGGCGTTGGCGGCGATCGCGAGGAGGCCGAGGAGGATGGAGAGGCGGAGGAGGAGATGGTGTTGCGTTGACGCCATTGTAGAGAGAGAAAGTCAGAGAGAGAGAGAGAGAGTGTGTGTGTGTGTGATTGGTAATGGATTCTTTGCGGAGGAAAGAGGAAAACTACCAATGGATATGTAGAATTGTGAACCACTGAAATAATCTAGTGTAACAGACCCATGAGAACTCCCTAATTCCCAATAACTAGTTTTGTTTTTTAAATCGGATTACATATATATTTAAATTATTGTATCATCGTATTTAATATTGTTCTTATCTATATTAAATTTCTTATTTATATCAATCAAACTTAAAAATAAATAACTAATAGATATTTGGGTGGAGAGAAAGGAGAAAAAAAAGAGAGAATTACAAAAAAAAAAAAAAAAAAAAAAAAGTGATTTTATTAATAAAGTGTTAAAAATTTGCGATGTATTTGGTGACACATTACTTCTCATAATTTAACTAATTATTAATTTTTTTTTAACAATATTTTTTAAACATTTCTATTACTAATTTTACAATAAAATTCTTTAATAAGATGTTATCTATTTGATAAGAGTAACTTTACTATGAGATGAGTGTAATTTTCTTTATAAAAAATAAAAATAACATAATTGACTAATGAACAAAAGTTATTTAAAATATTCAACCTTTACTCGTAAGGTAGTTTTAAAAATTCCAATTCAAACTCCGTTCAAACGCTTTAATGACCTTAAATTGGTAACTATTTCATGGTTACTAAGCAAATCTAAACTCAATTTTTTAAAAATAAATATACTTAAAAACAATTTTAAAAAATCCCAAACGGGCTCTTTATTTGATATTAGTGAAACTACAATGCAAATTCAAGAGTTAATTCATGAGACATTCATTAAATTGATATTCATGATAATTTATTCAATAGGAATAACATTTTTTTTTTTTCTTTTTGGTCTTATGAAAAGAGATATTTTATTAGAAAGAAATACTTTATTTGATAGAGTAATTTTATTTTTTAAAATTTCTTTTTCGTTGTTTTTTTTTTTTTTTTTTTTGTATTATAAAAAATAAATTTCTTTTTTCGTTGTTGTATTTTTTTGTATTATAAAAAATAAAGTTCTTTTTTCTTGTCAAAAGCGACCTAAAATATTAAACATTAAAGATAAGGAAAGAAAACTTGACATGACAGTTATGTCATTTTAAAGTAATCATTATTTAAAATTATAATATAAAAAAAACTAATCTTTTTTTTAAATTATACTCCCTATGTCCCAAAAAAAAATGTCTTTCATTTTTGGTCTGTTATAACATAATTGTCTATTTTTCTTTTTTAAACAATATTTTTTACATCTTTCCATATATGTTTTTAGAATTTAAAATTTCAAACTTGAATATAAGGATTAGTAAATTTTCAGGGAGACAAAACATGTCTGCTTAAAAATTCCTACTTCCTAAAAGCAACATCTAAATTTGGACAGAGTAATATATAAAAAAACATCCTTTTTTGAAATAAATTTAATGGTCCTCTCTTTCAAAAAAAGCCGTCTTTTGGCCCGACTTTATAAAAACCTACTCCGGCACTTAGGAGGCCAGGGCGTGCTAACCTTCCATCTCAACTCTTCACCTCTTATATTTTATTTTTTTGCTTTTAATTTTTTTTTTTTTCAGCCTTTCCCTTATTTAAACTTCCATGAAAACAAATCAGAAACTTCAAACACGTGGAAGACATCAAATTATTTCCACCATTAAAAAGCAAAATAAACAAAAGAAAACAAGGAAAAAGTAACATATAAGAGACAAGAAAAATAAATAAAAAGAATAGTATTTATGTGTGAAAATTAGTTAATTTGTTGTTTTGATTGGATGATACTATTGAAGGTAATTTACATTTCCTAATCCGACATTCATATATGGGAATGGTCGAGCCAAGTTCGGACACCTTTGTTGTATGTTTGAGAGAAGTCTGAATCAGGCTCAGCTCGAGTGTCATCGTCCTCATGAACCCTTGATTCTTTATTCTTCAATAATTAATTACTGTTTAATTTTCAAAAACTTTAAATGAAATTTTTGTTTTAGATTATGGACAAATCAATTTCTTATATTGGTATTTTACCTACATCAATTCTGGTATGCATGCATGCTTATAGTTGTATAATTCAATTTATTCTCTCTCTCTATATCAATCCCCCAATCTATCCATCCAACCATCTATCTAAAAATAAATGGATAATTCACTTCATTTTAGCATAAAAGTTTAATAGCATAAAAAATTGTTTCTTGCCGTCTAATTTTGCCACAACTACACATTTAGAAGAGGCTTGTACAACCTCCCTCGTATAACACCTGTCACGACATGCTCCACCATCTAAATATTATCCATTTAACATAATATTTTGTTTAAAGTGCTCCATTGAAATTTTAAAACGTGTTTACATGATTATGAGTATGGGTGACAATTCATATTCGTGAATCATAATCGTGTCGTGTTGACTTAAGATTATTGTACTAAATAGCTCAACCTTAACACGACTTATTTAAAATTCGTGTCAGGAACCCTCAACACTAACCCGATTTATTTATTAAACGAGTTATACATGTAACTCGTTCAATGACCTATTTGCTAAAACAAAAAATTATATTATTTAAATTATTAAATAGTCTATAGTATACAAAAGAATAAATTTATAAGGTACAAGTTTATATAGTTATTTTAAAACTTAAATATAAATTTATTTATGATTTATAGTTAGGGGTGGCAAAATTTTCCAACCCCCAACCTATTTAAAGCGGGTTTGGAGAATCATTTACTTAAATAGGGTGGGGATGGGGGTTTAAAAAAAAATCGACCGGTTTTGGGGCTGGGGCTGGGGCTGGGGTGGGGGCAGGGAACTCAGATCCCCGCCCTGAAACCGCCCCGATTAATATGTCAAATTACTAGCTTACCCTGCCATGTTCATATATTTATCAAATTAACCTTCATTATATATATATATTGTAAACCCTAGACTTCACTTTCAGACTTTCTTTTCAAACGCTATATTCTGATAGTGAGGCGGCAGCCGCGGCAATCTGACGAAAACAACAACCATATAGATAAATTGAAATATATGGGTTTTGACCTTCTGATTCTTGTAGATAGATTGGGGCGATTGGGGAGGCTGAAATATATGGGTTTTAACCTTCTGATTCTTTTAGATTTTGTAGTTTGCAGTTGTAGAGAGAGAGAGAGAGAGGGCAAGTTCAGAGTTGAGAATGAGAATAGAGATGGAGGTGATTGGGGAGGCTAAAATATATGGGTTTTGACCTTCTGATTCTTGTAGATTTTGTAGTTTGCAGTTAGAGAGAGAGAGAGAGAGCAAGTTCAGAGTTGAGAATGAGAATAGAGATGGAGTCGATTGGGGAGGCTAAAATGATTTTCCCTAATCGGTTATGGGCAAGGGGGGATGGGGCGATTATGGGGATTAGATGTAAAAAATTAATTAATCGGTTATGGGGCAAGGGGGGATGGGGCGATTATGGGGATTAGATGGAAAAAATTAATTAATCGGTTATGTGGCGGTTTTTGGGTACCAAAATTAAACGGGGGCGGGGTTGGGGAATGGGAAACCCACCCCAAACTGCCCCATTACCATCCCTATTTATAGTTAAATAGATTACACGTGTTGAACCACCTTAATCTAAACACAACACGATTAACTAAATGAGTTAATTATGTCGACTCGATTACAATCCAAATCCGTTTAAGATCAATCCAAACTTATTTAATTTGTGTCGTGTTCGAATCGTGTCAAATTTTGCCACCCTAATTATGAGATACTTACTCGTCCGGCACACGCTCAAACGCATTCCGAAAAAACTTTTCCTTCGACAAACACATCATCCATTATGACACAAAACCCCTAAAGTCCACTAACACACTCAAAACACATTTCACCACTTTTCTTTGTGCTTGCTCTCTCCTTTCACTCAGAAAATATATATGCTGAGCGCACTAAGAATAAATCAGTACGTGTGTAACACCATGTAAATCACATCTTCAACTTGTGACATTGTTGTACCAACTTGTGAAATTCTTTTCACATCTTCTGAAAGAAATAGTTGTTGATTTGACTCCCGATGATATAAACTGGATCTATGATCTCCACTAGTATTGATGAAATAAACGGGATCTGTAAATTAATAATCTCACAAAATGCCACCTTTTCAAATTTCAATTACATCACTTATATCAACATCCACCAATTTCATTACTGCACTAAGACTATGATTGATTTGATTTATCTACAAATAAAGTTGTGTATAGCACTGGATCAAGTTTATTTTATTTTTGTCACCACCAGGCTAATAAGTTCTCTAAGAAAGAGAGCTCTCAAGTTATCACGTACCATGATCATTCATGTATAATTGTAAAGGAGGTTGTTAGATGCTCATAACTCTCGAAAAAGGCCTTGTTGTTTTTTGAAAGATCTATCTCGTGTCTGGTATTGCATGGTTCCACTTTGCAAACAATTCGATCACCATATTCCATAAGAGTTCAAATACTCCGTGTATTTTCTGAGGTTTTTGTTTGTTTTGTTGTGTGTGCCCAAAAAGGGATCCTCTACAGTGCACTAGTTTTCAATGTATTGGGGGCAAAGGCTACATTACCGGCATCCAAGTCGAGAAAATCTTTCTTGCACACGAGTACCATGTCAGCATTGTCGTCAACCAAATTATATCTTATCACATAAGTAAATTGCATCTATTTCAACGGGCCACCACGCACGTGTTGTGTTTAATTAAGTTTTTACCATCAAAATGGGTATTATGATTATCCAGCAAGCCATACCTATGTAATGACCAAGTGTTACAAGTGAAACTTGTCCCACATCGAATTTGGATGGGGGTTGAAGGGGGTATAAATAAGTGGGTATGCAGTACTACCCAATAGTTTGAGCTTTTGGGTAAATGGGTAAGTATCCACTCGTTACAGTTGGCATCAGAGCCAGACCCAGTCCCTAATCCTGTGTCACGCCATGTGCCCGGCCTGGAAGGCATCTGGGTCTGTCCTCGGGTAGGCATGGTGGTCCTACCGCAACGAGGGCTTTGCGTGGGTTCGGGTGGGGGAGAATGTTACAAGTGGAACTTGTCCCACATCGGATTTGGAT